CGGGGGGCTGGGGAGCGGACTCCTCATTGGCTCTGCGGGCACGCAGCGCCTCCCGATTGGCTGCCTAGGCTGCACCTCCCGCCTCAGCAGAAAACCTTGGTGGACTCTGACCCAGATTTCCGGAAGTCCTTTTTTTAAAAATATTTTTTAAAAATATATTTGTCCTCTTGATTTCAGAGAGGAAGGGAGAGAGAAACATCAATGATGAGAGTCGTGGATCGGCTGCCTCCTGCACGCCCCGCACCGGGGATCGAGCCCACAACCCGGGCTTGTGCCCCGACCCGGAGTCCAACCGTGACCTCCGGTCCGGGTGCCAGGTAAGCCAAGCAGGCTGGGCTGGGAGGTCCTATTGCCCGGCCCTCCCTCCGGTGTTCCCACTTTGTCATTGGCAGAACCATGGCCCCGCCCGCCGCCCCAGCCCCGCCCCCGCTCCAGCCACACTGGCCTCCTCTCCGTTTCCGGTGGTTTTCCAGAGCTGCGGTTCTGCTCTCTCTCCATTTACTAGTAGATGGAGGGCTGAACACCCCCCAACCACCCCCCACACACACACCTGTAGGGGCCTTCCCCAGGATCAACCCTGGTAACGTTACTTCCTCATAGAGAATTTGAAATTTTTTAATGCATTGCCACCGCTTCAAAGTTAGGCAACTTCACGTTTGGTGTCAGAATCTGCGCTGCTCTTGATCAGGAGATCTGGGGGCTGGGCAAGGAGGCTCAGGTTCGGGGAATCCCTGCCCGGCCGGACATCTGTCAGTGTGTCCAGCAGGGGATGGGAGCCAGGTCGCAGGAAAATTACCAGCAACGTTTATGGTACCTTATTCTTCTTAATTCTCACCCGACTACATGCTTTTTTAGAGAGAAATATCAGTGTGAGAGGGAAACATTGGTTGCCTCCCGCACGCACCTGACCAGGAATGGGACCCGCAATCTGGGCATGTGCCCTGACTGGGAATGGAACCCGGGACAAAGCTCCAACCAACTGAGCTACACTGGCCAGGGCTATGGTACCTTATGTTTTATAGGCAAAACAAAAGGTGTTATTTAAAACATGGAAATCTGTCGGTGTGACTGACCATGGTACTGTCATCAGTGTTTCGAAGCTGTTTGAATTGTAGATGAAAATATAACTGAGCCCGACTGGTGTGGCTCAGTGGTTGAGAGTCGATTTATGAACCAGGAGGTCATGGTTCGATTGCCAGTCAGGGCACATGCCCGGGTTGCCGGCTCGATCCCCAGTGGGGGGCGTGCAGGAGGCAGCCGATCCATGATTCTCTCTCATTATTGATGTTTCTCTCTCTCCCTCTCCCTTCCTCTCTGCAATCAGTAAAAATATATTTTTTAAAATAATCAATAAAGCTCATTCCAGAGGTCTCCTGGCAGTTGGAGTGGAAGGGGCAAGAGTGGAGTAAGTAGTCAGACAAGAGGAAGAACGTGGGACTGATGCTGGAGGGATCTCGAGAACAGAGACTGTGCGGGTGTCTTGCTCAAGGCCAAGGAGAGGGGCAGCTCCATCTCTTTATTTTGACACCAGTCTCCACCATCGGCTGCAGGCCCACCCCTCCTCACTACAACAAAACCTGCACCAAGGGCTTCAGCTTGTCCTTCATGGCAGTGTCCACTGGCGGCAGGTCCTTGGCCTTCATGACCACCTCGTGGGCCTCCTGGAAGAGGTCCTCCCCGACCTCCGCCTCCACGCGCTGGCGCCAGGCCGCCAGCTTGGGGCGGGTTTTGAAGACGTGGCAGCCGGCGCTGACAGGCTGAGGGGAGAGGGAGCTGTAAGGCGGCTGACCCGGTTTAGGGACACACCAGGTGGACTTTGCTCCCCTGCCCCCTGTGTGACAGGCTGGGGGTCCCCTCCCAGGAGACACTGAGAAAGGCCTGGATATCCCTGCAGGGCGGGGTTTTAAAGTCCCATTTTACAGATGAGGACACTGAGACGCAGAGGAGGAAGTAACACGCCCTGGGTCCGCAGCCAGGAAGGGCAGCGTGAGCTGGTACACTGGCTCCCTCCTGGGCACCCCACGCCCCATGGGCCACGCCCCCCCGGGCACTCACGTGCATCAGCTCTGTGATGGCCACCAAGTCGGCCACCGAGATGCAGGGCCCCGCGAGGAAGTCATCGTCCTTCAGAAACTTGTCCTCAAGCAGCTGCAGGCACCTGTCCAGCTCGGCCAGAGTAGATGCCAATGTCTCGGGGGGCACCCGTTCGCCAAGGAACACAGGGAGCATCATCTGGTGGGGGGCAGGCAGGAGCGGGCTGAGGTTCCGCCCAAAGCCCAGCCTAGCTTCTCCTTGCTCCCGCCCACCCCTTTCCACCCACAGCCACCACCACCGGCCCAGGCCTCATCTCCCCCTCACACAGGGCCAGCCTCCACCCTCCCTAGATGCTCACAAGGCCGCTGGGAGAGCCCTCTGCAATCTCAGGCTGCCCGTCCCTTCTCGCTGCAGCAAGCTTTCCGGGGCTCCCACTGTCCTCCCACAAAGGCCTCACCACCAGCCCCACTGGTGCAGCTGCCACCCTCCACCTCCAACCCCACCCAGACTTCTCACAGGGGCATGCGCCTGGGACTCGCTCTGGAATATGGTTCCAGAGCTCATTCCTGAGTCGTGTGCTTGGGTGGGGCCTGAGACTCGGCATGTCCATGAGCTCCCAGGTGCCGCTGACGCTCCTGGTCTGCGGACCAGCCTTTTGGGGAGCAAAGGTCTACACTCGCTCTGCTTGACTTCTCTCCGTTCTGCACGGAGAGGCTCCTGCCCGCTCCAGCTTGACTGGGCTCCTCGCCAGCCCCTAGCAGCTCAAGGAGGATTCTTTTTCTTAACTATATCTTTACTGATTTCAGAGAGGAGGGGAGAGGGAGAAGGACAGAAATATCAATGATGAGAATCATCAGCTGCCTCCTGCACACCCCACACTGGGGATCAAGCCCAAAACCCAGGCATGTGCCCTGACCGGGAATCAAACCGTGACCTCCTAGTTCATAGGTCAACTCTTTTTTTTTTTTTAATATATTTTATTGGTTTCCCATATGGGAACAGCTGCTCCGCAGAGCCGTGTGCTGCCATGCCAAGTACTCGTCCACACGGGCGCAGGCTTCCAGGTCCTGGGGGTACCAGTGGTCAGGGGCCTCATACTTCCGGCTAAGATACAGCAGGATGGCCACACTGGGAGGGACAGCAGGGGCGGGGAGAGGTCCCAGTCACTTCTCAGCTACTCTCCAGGGGCCAGGCCCTGGGTGGGATAGGCCTCGGCTCCTGGCATGTGTGTCCCCATGTGGGCGACGCGTTTCACCATCTCCAGGTGCAGAGTAGGAATGTGAGGCTCAGAGAGGTTAGGGGACTTCCCCAAGGTCACACAGCGCTACGCTGAGCTATCCTATCATCTAAACTAAGGGCACAAAGTAAAAAACAAAAACGTTATGGGATTTCAGAAGGGGGGTGTGTGCTCAGAGAAAGCTTCCTCAAAAAGGGGGGCACCCAGATGGGCCCTGAGGGTGAGAGCCACTCACCCAGCACCCAGCACCCAGTACCACTCCCCAGCAGAGTCAAAGCATGGACACAACAGGAGCAATGCCAGGTGCCCCTCCCAGCCCTGGCATCTCTGCCCACTTCAAGCCACTCTCCATCCTGGGGCGGGCACAGCTGCTCACGGAACATAAACCATGTCCCAAGCTATGGGCAGTGGGCACACAGGGGGCCGGCCCCCCAAGGCCATGCAGCAGTTCAGGGGCCATTACCTCTCGGCCAGGGTGAAGTCCCCATCCTTCAAGGCTGGCACCTTCCTCAGGGGGTTCACCTGGGCAAAGTCATCGCTGTTGTGCTGACCTACGGGAGAGAGCAGTGAGGCAGGGGAGGAAGCCTGAACCCTCCCAGGTCTCTGGCCACGCCCACCCAGCAGCCAGAATCTTTCTTTTTTTTAAAAAAATATTTTTTTATTAATTTCAGAGAGAAAGGGAGAGGGAGAGAGAAACATCAATGAGGAGAGAGAATCATCGACCAGCTGCCTCCTGAACACCCCCCACTGTGGATGGAGCCCGCAACCCGGGCATGTGCCTCGACCAGGAATTGAACGGTGACCTCCTGGTTCATAGGTCAATGCTCAACCACTGAGCCACACCAGCCAGACCGTCCAGGATCTTTCTGAGGCCCCTATCCAGGCGGGGCACCAGGGAAGAGGACGCCACCCTACTGTCCCCTGACCCTCCCAGAGGGCCACCACTCCTGTGTCACCTCCTTGCACCTGGGCCAAGCAGCACCGTGGCTCGGCCCCGGGAGGAAGATGACGCACATCCCTGTAGCCAGCCGATTCCATCCACGTCAGGCACTGCGGCCTGCCCTCCGAGATCCACCTGCCTACGCAGGCCGCGTGAACTGTGCAGAGCCCCGAGCGGGGCCATACCTGTTTCCAGCCCTCAGCCCGTCCTTGGTCTCACCAGGGCCCCTAACCCCGTCACCCAGCCTCCTGCAGCTCAGCTCTTCTTCCTTTCCTGTGCCAGACGCCCAAGGCTCCCTCCCCAGTGGGGGTTCCCAGGCCTGACTCGATGCTGCATGCCCCGTCCCCCCCACCCTGCCAGTGCTGAAGCTACAGCGGTACAGGGGCGTGGAGTCACGGCCCCTGTGCCCTTCTCCTGAGTGGACAGAATCGCTCCGACCCAGGCTCCCTCCAGAAACTGCCTGTGTGCCCAGCCCGGGGAGGGCTGCAAAGGCAGAGCAGGGTGGCAGCGTAGCAGGCCGGGGGCACCAAAGACAGAGGGTGGGCAGGCTCAGCCCAGCAGGGGCCTCCCTCGGGGCCTGCCCAGGGGGCTCTGGATCTGGAGCTTGCCCTACTGTCCCGGTCCAGTCCCGCCCCCTCCGCTGGATTCTGTGAACGTGGAGGGGTGGGGAGGAGCAAAGAAGAGACCAGATGGGGTAGAACCACCCTCTCCTCCCCGCAGATGCAGAAACTTGGAGGTGGGGAGTAAAGGAGGAAGCAGTTGTCTTCTCCACCTCGGGGTGTGGAGGTCCAGGGGCACTCACTCCACTTCCCCACCCCCACCCCAAACCTTATGATGTCTACCTGCCTGGCTCCCTCTTAACCTATATTTTAAAGAATATTTCGTTTTCGCTAGACAAAGGTCGAGGCTCTTTAAAACTACACAACTGATGCTGGGCCTACGTGGCTCAGTGGTGGAGCATCCGCCTGTGAACCAGGAGGTCAGGGTTCGATTCCCGGTCGGGGCACAGGCCCGGGTTGCAGACTCCATCCCCAGTGGGGGGCGTGCAGGAGGCAACTGGTCCATGATTCTCTCTCATTGATGTTTGTTTCTCTCTCTCTCTCTCTCTCTCTCTCTCTCTCTCATTCTCTCTGAAATCAATAAAATATATATTTTTAAAAATACACAACTGATAACCGGTGCGACATTTCTGCGCTGGAGAGTCTGTCTGCCCTCTATCCGCACCCCGCCCGCAGCCTGCGCGCCCCGCCCACCTTTGAGCACCTCCACGGTGCGCAGCTCGAAGGGGACGCCGATCTTCTTGGCGAAGATGTAGACGGCGCGGCAGGGCTGGCACAGCAGGTCCAGGTAGAGCTCCAGGCCCATGAAGAGGGCGGCAGGCCGACCAACGAGAGGGAGGCGGACCCGGGGAACCGGGCCGG